TGTTTTCCCCGACAGTTTTAAAGTTTCAAGTCTCACATTAAGGTTCTTGATCCATTTGGAATTAATTTTACACTGAATGGCAGATATTAAGTTTTATTCTTCAATTTATGGATTGGATTTGTCCCAGCACCATTATTAAAGGTGCCTTTTCATCAGTGTGTTTTTGATACTTTCGTCAAAAATTAGGCAATTATCATTGTACTGTTTTATTTCTGAGACCTCCCTTCTGTTCCATTGGCCAATGTGTCCCCCTTTGTGCCAGTAAAACGCTGATGGTGTTACTGTGACTCTGCACTAGAAGTTGAGATCAGATATTGTAATAATTTCTTCCTTGTCTTTTTTTGAAAAAAAAAAACAGGATTGTTTAGAATATGCTGAGTATTTTGTGATTCCACACAAATTTTAAGACTGTTTTTCTTGTCCTCTGAATAATGCCGTTGGAATTTTGATAGTGATTTTCCTGAATATGTAGATGTAGATCGCTCTCAGTAACATAGCTAGTTTCACAATATCAATTCTGTGGATCTACAATATTGGAGGACCTTGCCATTTTCTAATGGAATCGTCTATTTATTACTTTGGGATTTAAAATTTTTATGATAGAAGTTATTCACTCTTTTGGTGAAATTCATTCTTGATTTACATATTTTAACCTTGTGAATGGAACTGATTTCCTTATTTCTTTCTCAGCATGTTCATTCGAATGTACAAAAGAGCAACTAATATTATTTGCTGATTTTGTAACCTACTACTTTGCTGAAAATGTTTACGAGTATAAGAGATTTCTCGTGGAGTCTTTAGCGCCTGTGAAGAGTAAGTCGTGTCATTTTTGACTAGTGGTAATTTGATGTCTTTCTGTCCTGTCTCTATGGTTTTTGTTTCTTTCTCTTGCCTTGTGGGGTAAACTGAGATCTCTACTGACTAAGACTGGTATGTTTCCGGCTTTGACTCCTTCCTGACTTCATTTAGTAAAATATTGGGTACAGTTTGTTCATATACTTCTGTCCTGTCTCTAGTTTCTTCATGACTTTTATCATGAAGGGATGAGGAACTTTGTCAAAGGTCTTTCTCGCTTCTACTGAGATGATCTTGTGGTTTCTGCCTCCAAATCTGTTTATGCGCTGTATGCCATCTTGGGAATCCTCTGACAGAACCTCTTTCTTTCATTGATTCTTCGTTTTGTTCTCATAGTTTCCATTTCTTTACTTTTCATTGTTACTGCTTTCAGTCCAGTGTTGTTCTGCTCTGTTTTTGCAGAACCTTAAAGGGCATCATTATCGCTAGGTTGTTTATGAGATGTTTCTTAGTATCATTTATTTATTTATTTATTTATATATTTATTTCCTAGATGAATGTTTTGCTTGTGTGTGTACATATTCATCTGAGCATGCAATTGTTGCTGTTAGGCCGGACCTTTCTCCCACCTCGGGGGCAGGGGATGAGTAGGCACAGAGTAGAGTCAAGGACACAGACACTAGGAGGCTTACTGTCTTGCAAGCAGAGCTCTCCTTTATTGCATACAAGGGAGCAACCTTTACACCCCTCCCTGTCCTCCCATTGGTCCCCGAGTCTGAGATGTTTCTCTCTCATTGGTTCTTCTGGTGTGTCAGCTTTCTCCAGGTCTCCTGGCAGAACTTAGGTCTTCAGACTCAAAACAGGAAGCTCTGCCTTGGCCTGTCCCTCCACATACAATGCCTGTGAAGCCCAGAAGAGGGCATCAGGTCCCCTCGAACTGGAACTTGTTCATTGTTGGGACCTGAACCTAGGTCCTCTGCAAGAGCACACAGTAGTTCTCTTAATCCCTGAGTCATAGCTCTAATCCCTGATTTTTCTAGTAAAAACATTTATAATTATAAATGTTCCTCTTAGAATTGCTTCAGACATGGATCATAGAGCTAAGGTTGGGGTGGGATCAGTGTGGGGAGAGTCTATCTAGGCAAAATAAGTATGAGTCCTGAAGCTGGAGAATGCAGTTAGTCTGGGTGCAGGGGATCAGGACCGCAGTGGATAGGTCTGGGCTATGAGGCTACTCCAGAAATCTGAGGTGGGACGAGCAGGAGGGGGCCTGGACCCAAGGTTGGAAGGGGACAGCATTGGGAGAGGGAATGGAGCTGGTCAGGATGCAGGGGAAACAAGTTGCAGTGGATGAGGTCTGACTGGTCCAGGGTGGTATGCAGATGTCTGACAGGCAGAGTGGGAGGGATGAGACATGATCCCAAAGCAGAATAATGCATGCAGGATTGGGCTACCACACTGCCTGGAGGCAAAATCAGGGATGCTCAGGCTGCCTCGGGGGCATAGGTTCAAGGCTCAAGGAGAGAGAATGGGAAGAGGATATGCCTGCTCATTAGAGACAGCAGGGAAGCCTGAGCCCTGGAGGAGTGTGACTGAGTAGAGATCTCCCCAAAGCAGGGGACAGGTGCCACAAGGTTTGGGCTACTCACCCCTCCAGAGGCTGGAGGCTGAGTCAGGCACTCTCAAGCTTCCTCAAAAGGACAGGTCCGAAGCATAAGGACAGGAGACTGATTCTAAGTTGTTATTCATTTTAAGTTCATGTGTATGAGTGTTATGCCTGCATGTATATGAGTGCACCCATGTCATGCAATGCCCAGGGAGGACAGAAGAGGGTGCCGGAGTCCATAGAACTGCAGTTACAGAAGGTTGTTAGTTGCAAGATGGTTGCTAGCTGCTATGTGGGTAGTAAGATTTGAACCCCAGTCCTCGGCAAGAGCAGACGGTGCCCTTCCCAGACCCAGATTCTAAGTATTTTAAGTTTCTTACATGTTTGTACTTCAAATGCATCACTAGCAATTTATTTCTATCTCAATGTAATTAGATGATATCTGTAGTTTCTCTTCTATTGATTTCTAAGTTTATTCTACCATAATCAGATAAGATATGAGACATCATTTAAATTTCTTGTATTTGAAAAAGCTTAGATTATGGTGAATAATGTGATCAATCTTAGAGACAGTTTCAAATGTTGCTGAGAAGAATGTCACTCGACAGCTCCTGGTGGACTGTTCTATAACTGACTGCTAAGGCCCCTTGATCTATGGTATATTTTAATTCTGAAATTCTATTCCTGGATTTTTTAGTTTGGATTGTCTGCCTAGAGATGAGTGAGATGTTGATAGTTCAACTGTGAACAAAGCTACCTTCTAAAGGTGAGTGGGTACTGAAGGAACCAAGTGTTATGCACCAGGACATGCCTGTTGTTTTTGTGATTAGTTACTCAAAGATACTGCAATCACTTTAGGGACTTCTCTTCGTTATATACCAGAACTTGTTTCTGATCACTGTTAGTTTTGCAGCCTATTTTCATGGCAGGTGCTCACTGGCTCCAGAAACACCCCAGTGGGTGTGTTCAGTGGTGGGGGCTAATGTCTAAGCCAGGCATTGTCTCCGGAGTTTGATGGGATGTGAGGGAGGCAGGTGGATCACAGAAACCTGTTACTGGAGGGAAGGTCTCAATGCTTTCCAATCCTACTCACCACTAACTACCCTGCATAATGGACACGGCTGTCAGGAATGACCAAGAAATACTTACTCTAATGTTATAGTAAATATGTGGAGCTGTGTGCTACAGAAAGATAAAATCCAACCAGTTCTAAACCCTGGATTCTATAGTCTAAGGACAAATATTGAATAAAGGAATTGAGGCAAGTCCCTGTGCAAGGTAAGAGTTTGAGCAGCTGGTTGAGCAGGATCTGGCCACAAGATGGCAGAGCATCTCTGCAGCTGCAGAACTTAGAAGGGACTTCTGGTTGACTTCTCTAGGAGCAGGCTGCACACAGAAGCAGTGCTCTGTACAGATAGTTTAGGAACCAGCTATGCTGGGGAGGAAAGAGGAGGTAACCTGATAACACACATCTTGCCTGGCTGGAGGCCACAGTCCCAAGGGTCACAATGAAGACGCTGACGGGACCTTTGGTCCTGTGCATGTGGCTAAAGCTGGACTGTGAGCTGAGAGCTTTGGGGAAACAAGTTTGTTAGTGGTGTTTACTATTAAGTCTGAAGAGCAGACTGACCTTCTCCAGATTGCCTGAACTACTGTAAGAAAAAAGCAAAGTCTGGAGAATGATACCTGATGCTCTTCCTGATGTTTCCTTTCACACAAGTGTGAGCAGAGGAGAGCAGCTGGAGCAGAGTCCTTCTTTCCTGAGTCCTCCCTTTCCTGAGGGAGGGAGACATCTCCACATCAAATGCACCTCCACAGACAGCTCTCCCTGCACATCACAGCTGCCCACGCTGAGGACTCAGCCTAATACTTCTGTGTAGCAGAAGCATGGTGTGCCCCAGGTACCTGCTGTCTGTACCCAAACCTGAGACCAGGACTACAGACTTTTTTTCTACCGTTGAAACCATGATTTTTCTGTGTTGGATCCTTAGTAGTTGAACCATCTAAAACATCCTGAAATTCTGTTTCCAAAAACTACAGTGATGGGGCTGGGGAGATGGTTCAGTGGTTAAGAGTACTGGCTACCCTTACAAGGACCCAGGTTCAATTCCCAGCACCCGCATGGTAGGGAACAACCATCATAACTCCAGTTCCAGGGGACTCAACACACTATTCTGACCATTGTGGGCATTGCACGACATGGGTGCACTTACACACACATAGGCAATACACTGGTACAGAGAAAATAAAAATAACAAATAAGATATTTATCAAAATAAGATATAATGAGTGATAGAACATTTTTAATTATTCATGATGAGAGTGACTTCTTAGTTAGATAACAGGTCTCAAGAGTCAACATCTAGTTATCATTCAAATCTGTCCTCTACAGATGCCATTTCAGTGTCACTGGTAGAGAGTACCCTACTCATCTTGTTGAAAAGGCTCTTACCTTTAAATAACAGTATACACTGTGGACTATTACAGAATTATTCGTTGCATAGCATAGGAAATAGTCATGCATTGGAGGTCTTGGACATGACTTCTTCATAACAACATTTGCTGTAGAATTAAAAACAGCATTATAGAAACCGTTGATAGATTATGCATGGAAACCACCAGAGATCAGAGCATTCTAGATGTGGCTTCATTTCCATTATGATCTCAGTTGAACACGCCTATTGTCTTTGTAGTCACAGGAGAGATGCTTGTTATACAAAACAATCTTGTCTATGAGGGACTGCTTACTACACAGTCTTTCTGGAGCTTAGCCCTTTAATATTTGTTATATTGAAAGAAGCTAGGATCAGTTCCTTCTAGCAACATGTTTTCTGTTACCTGCTTGGGGCTTGTGATCTTCTTACTCTTCAGTAAGTCACATTTTATCCTAAGGACTAATGACAATTCATTTTTAAAGTCATAACAACCTTCAGCTTTTAAACCTTTTAACAAAGCAATTTTATTTTTTCTAGAGAAGAGCAATGGAGATTCTGTGACCCAGACAGAAGGTCCAGTTACTGTCACAGAGAGGGCATCTGTAATCCTGAACTGCACCTACCAGACCACGTATTCAGCTCCCACGGCTTTCTGGTACATCCAAGATCTCAAGAAAGCCCCTCAGCTGCTCCTGAAGACGGCAACTGAAAACAAGAGGACGGAGAACCGAGGGTTTCAGGCCACGCTTGTGAAGAGCAGTAACTCCTTCCACCTGCACAAGTCCTCTCTGCAGCTGTCAGACTCGGCCCTGTACTACTGCGCTGTGAGTGACACAGTGCGGGAAACTGCAGGGGGAGCTGAGCACAAACCCAGGCTCACAGGAGGGCTGCAGGGGAGCACACCTGTAGACAGAGGGGTTACATGTTTTCTCTAAGCAGTGTTTACCCAGCTTTCAGGAGAACAGTGATAAATCCCAGATCAAATTCCTAGACATCTAAAATACTGTGAACTACTCAGAGTAAGGATAGGGTGGGTGTCAGTGTTGGAAGCCATGTTGAGATCTGCAAGATGAGAGCTCAGTCAGAAACCTGTTCTTCCCCAGATGGTATAGTATAGGCATTACCGAAGCAAATCCTTCAAGGGAAAGCTTGATATAAGATTAATCTTGTCCAAAAATGTCTCATGAAATTAGCTTTTTAAAATCGCAATGGATTTTGTGTTCCTCTCACAAACATTCGTGACACACGATCTTGTCTTTACGACTCGGCTTCTGTCTCCACAACTTCGGCTCTGCTTTTACTTGATTCGTGTTGCAGAGAATTCAGTCTAACTGCACACCAACTCTTCCCTTCATGAAGCAGCTCAAGAAGCACAGGAACTGGACAACTGTCAGGATGAGGCCATGAGGGTTGTTCCTTCCCTGTGCTCACTATGCACTGGGTGGTGAGGCATCCTGGCTGGAAGACGCTCTTTCTAAGAAGTGCTCCCTCCTCCTGTATGCTCTTCTGTACCATCACCCAAGGATGTGTGCAGTCTCTCATCCTGGATTTCACTTTAGGTTATCTGAAAATTCTTCGGAAAGAGGGAGGATGCCAATATTTTGATCCACTCCAGTTCTTTAAGGAGAATAATGAACTGAAAAACTTCAACATTCTACACAGTTCTCTAAAACACAAAGATGGGGCATAGACCAAGGATGTCTTTCACAAGCAAATAACCACCTTGGGTCTTGAGGATCCGTTGCAGTCCCAGAATTGAGGTCCTGAGCTCCTGTTCCTGTGATATCCAGGTTCCCCACCATCTCAGCTCTTTCTTCCTTGGTTTCAGGGACACTCGCCCACCCCAGTTCTGTGCTCTGCCACATACTTGGCAGGGGGAATTTCTGCCACCATCTCAGCACTCAGGACAGCTTTGGTCTCTGGGATCCTTCCCTGCCCCAGATCCCTGGTCCTGAGTTCACATTCCTGAGAATTTCCTATACCAGGCCATCACAGGTCTGTGCACTCCACACCTGTGAGCACCCCAAGCCCAACCTATCAGCATACCTGTTCGCCTAGCAGCCTGCAGCCCACCCTACTAATTCAGGACCTTGTGGAGTCAATCTTGGAATCTCAAAAGCTGCAGCTAACTCTGGCTGAAATGAGAACAATTCTTTCACTCCATTTGCATGTCAACATAAAGTGGCCGCCAAACTGAAATGCACTACTTAGCCAGGTCATAACCCAAAAAATTGGGGAAACAGCAAAGATACAATCAAACATTTGAAAAAGATGAGGTCACTTGCCCATACTAGGAAACACCGTAACACAAGTCCAGATGCTTAGTTCTCATCAGAAGTACACAAACAACATGAATAACCAAGGTAATATGCCACTACAGAAATTAGCAAGTCTATTGTAATGTTTCCCCAAAATGAAAATCGAGTGGAAGCACAATACAATGCTTTCAAAATAGCCATTATAAATATATTCAAGGAACTCAGCATATGAATAAAAGACTGAATGAAGACCAGGAAAGCACAGATAGTGAAATGAAATAACTAAAACAGTTCAAAACATGGAATTAGAGTTCAATGAAGAGATAGAATCTCTGAAGAAAAGCCAAACTGAAATAAAACTTGAAATGACAAACTCAGGAATGCAAACAAAAATCTTAAAGGAAAGAAGTAAAAAGAAAGTGGAGGAAATGGAACAGAGACTATGAGATCGTGAAGACAAGCTTGGGGAAATGGATCACATGATCAAAGAAAATGTCTGGGACACTGTAAAAGACCAAACCTACAAATCATAGGCATAGAAAATGGCTACGGAGGTAGGTTGAATGAAAATGTCCCCTTTAGGCTCCAAATATTTGAACATTTTGTCCCCAGAGGGTGGCACAGTTTTGGGAGTTCTCAGAAGGTGTGGCTATCCTGGAGGAAGCATGTCATTGAGGGGTGCGCTTAGAGAGTTCTTAAGGCTTGCTGGCTCTCCAGTCACACTCTTGCTTCCTGTGCCTGCAGGAAGATGTAGAGGTTAGCTTCTGCTCCTCCTCCTCCAGCCACCTCTGCCACAATGTCTCCCCTCTAAGACAGACTGTAATTCCCCTGGAACTGTAATCTCAAATAAACTCTTCCTTTTATAAGTAGTTTTGGTCAGTGTTTTTAATCACAGCAACAGAAAAGCGACTAACACAGGGGCACAAAAATATTTTTAATAAAGCCATAG